TGCACTTGTCTTCACGTTAGAAAAAAATGTATTAAAACTTTTCGGAAGACTAAAAATCAGTACATAGGTTATATCATCTTCAAGAATTAAAAAAAATATCAATAACCAATATCTTACTAAATATTTATAGTTACGATTATTCTTTATCTGCTTTTAGGGTATTTATTAATTTATGATATTGTTGTGACCTATAGATATAAAATGAATTTTTTGAAACATTATTATCTTATCGATTTTTTTTTTTCACTTTTTGCACTTGTCTTAAATTGGGTCAGAGAAAATTATTAATTGTTAGAAGTTATTAATTTACTAACGTTCTACAGTATCCGTATATGTGAAAATAAAAAATTACCCCATAGTCCTAGAAAAAAAAATAGTCGACACTGAGTTATTAACATAAGTCTCAAAATTCAATTTTGATTTTTTGGGATGAAAAAAACAATATTTTTAGACTTTTTATTATTAATTAAAAAAGAATAATGAATGTATTTTTTTTTATAGCAGAGTGAATATTAAATTTGTTTAACACTTAGTCAAATCATGGGACAAAGAGTTTATATACTCTTGCACCAAAAAAAAAAATGTTTACATATTCTCTACATCCCAAAAGAAATAGTCTAGATTAATAATATAGATTAGGGGTGTTCACGGTCCGGATTGGTCCGGATTGATAGCAATCCATAACTAAACCGTTCATTACGGTTTGAAAAATTTCCTATCCGTAACCAGACCGGATTGGTGTATAATCCGGACCAATTCAATCCGTTTTTAACAGTTTAGTTTGGGCGAATTGGCAGTTTGGACTTCTGATTGGACTTTTTTATTTTGGGCAATAAATTAAATATTTTTTTTGTTGTTTGACCTTTTTTGGAGGGTTTTTCTTGAAAATTTTTGGGGGATTTTGTATATATAGCCGTTTTTTTTAGGCTTTTCTTGAAAAAAAAAAATTAGTCCATGGAGGATACGAACACACGACCTTCAACAAGGTCTAATGTAGAGGGAACAACAATAATGCCAATGAGACAACTTAGCACTTTCGATGAAAGTCTTTATTCGATGCTATATATACAAAATCAATATATTATTATTTTATAATATATATACGGTCCGGTCCGGATTGACAGACGGTTTGACAGTGACAAACCGTAATCCGGACCGGATTGACCGATTTTCAATTTTTCAATTTGCCGATTTAAAAATATAATAATAATCCACTTGTTAAGCCGAACCGATGACCGGATTGGGCGGTTCCACCGGTTTAAGTCAAACCGTGAACACTCCTAATATAGACTATTATTTGCGGAAAAATCGCCAGCCATGCAAGCGAAATTCCATCAAGGAAGCCTTTAATCAAGACATGATATTTTCAGATTTCAGTGCGATATTCCCACTAACAGCTTGAACAAGAGAATAGTGTTCTAATTACAATATATTCCATCGATTACAAACTAAAATTTATGTACATTGAAGTAATTTTTTTTTCCAAATATTAAAACTTTTATTTGAAAAAAGACTAAACTGTATAAATGGTCCCCCACATTTGTCTGAATTTAAATTTTGGTCCCCTACATCAACATGTATATGGATTGAGCCTTTACATTTCATTTTGAAACTTTTTTGGTCTCTTTTCACTGTTCCGTCACCATTTCTATCTTGATGACCGTTGACCCTATCAAGTCAGGGGTATTTTCGGAATGACACATATAAGATCAAAATAACAAATGTTTAAATGGTCCCCTACATTTGTCCGAATTTAAATTTTGGTCCCCTACATCAACATGTATATGGATTGAGCCTTTACATTTCAATTTGAAACTTTTTTGGTCTCTTTTCAATGTTCCGTCACCATTTCCGTCTTGATGACCGTTGACCCTATAAAGTTAGGGTATTTTCGGAATGACACATATAAGATCAAAATAAAAAATATTTTTATAATAAAATAGGATAAAATATTAAAAATTATTATTTTATAATAAAAAATTAAATAACGTAAAAATAAAAAAAATTAAAATGATTTCAAATTTCAAATTTCAAATTTTTTTTTTCACTTCCCACCTTTGTGGGTCTCATATGCCACTCAATTTCCCCCTTTTTTTTCTACAGTAAAAAAAAAGCAAAGTTAAAAAGTAAATTTACCGTCACCCATCAAAATTAAAAAGTAAAAAAAAAAGGGTGAAGGTAAGTTTGCTTTTTAATTTTGATTTTTTTTACTGTAACAAAAAAGGAGAAAAATTGACTAGCATGTGGGACCACAAAGGTGGGAAGTGAAAAAAAGATTTGAAATTTGAAATTTGAAATCATTTTAATTTTTTATTTTAATTTTTAAATTATTTAATTTTTTATTATAAAATAATAATTTTTAATATTTTATTCTATTTTATTATAAAAAACATTTGTTATTTTGATCTTATATGTGTCATTCCGAAAATACCCCTGACTTGGTAGGGTCAACGGTTATCAAGACGATGCTGTTCGATGCTGTTCTCAAGCATTTTGCGGCTGTGTCTGGTCTTGTTTCGAATGTGTCCAAGAGGTTCCTCTATTTTAGGGGAGCCGATGCTCCTTTGAGACAGGAAATTAGAAGCATTTTGGGGGTTGAGGAGGATAAGTTACCAGTGAAATACTTCGGTGTGCCACTTAACTCTAAATCTCTCTCCATCATAGATTGCCAAGCTCTGGTTGAAAATGTAACAGAGAGGATTAGAAGCTGGACTACGCGCTTCTTATCATATTCAGGATGCCTCATATTGGTGAAAGCAGTCCTTCAGAGCCTTCACAACTTTTGGTGCCGTATTTTTATCCTCCCTAAAAAGGTGATCAAAACCATTGATGGGATCTGTAGATCATTCTTGTGGTCAGGAAGCTCAGATAGCACAAAAGCATCAATTGCATGGTCTTATGTTAGCAAGCCCTTAAATTCAGGAGGGCTGGGCATAAAAGACTCAAATGTGATGAACATCGCATTGGTCTTAAAACTCATATGGGACATACACCTTAATGCAGAGAGTTTATGGGTGAAATGGTTATATGAATATTATTTCAAGGAAGACTCTTTTTGGAATCTGCAAGTGAAACAATCAACCTCTTGGCCAGTGAAAAAGTTGCTCAAAATGAGACAGTATGCAAGGTAATGTATTAATGTCAATTCAGAGAGCAATGAATGGATTGGTCTGGGGCAACCTTTCTCAGTGAGTAGTGCCTATCAAACCCTTAGCAACCAGCACCAATGGAGTCAAGAGTACATTCTGTCTTGGGGTAAGTTTATCGTCCCAAAACATGATTTTATCACCTGGTTAGCTTGTCTGAACAAGTTGAAAACAAGGGCTAAAATCTCCAAGTATGATCCATTAATTGACAGTAGATGTCCTTTATGTATGATGGAGGAGGAAAGTGTAGAGCATATTTTCTTTGAATGCCTTTTCTCCACACAGATCATCACCAAAGCCATGGCTTTGGTTGGTGCAGAGGTCTTATCACTGTACTGGCTCTCATTTATGAATGAGATGTTGGAAAAATATGGCTAAAGTACTGTACGTGATGGTATAAATAGAGGGGTGGCGGCAGCTGCAATTTACAACATCTGGGAGGTGAGAAATAATGTTATTTTTCATCATAAGGAAGTGTTTGAACCCGAGGTGATCCACAGTATTTCCTTCTCCTTGAAAATGAATCTGTCCAAGATTACTAAAATGAAGAATACTTGCAAGAACAGGCAATGGTGTAAGCTGATGAATATTTGCCCTAAATTCAATTGAACAAATTAGATTTTGGTTTTCTATGTGGTGATCTTATTTTGTACTGATTAATATTTGTAGCAAACAAGTATCCTAGGTGTAGTGAATTCTGGAGATACACTACGATTGTACCTATAATCATTACTCAATGGAATAAAACTCAACTTTCATCCAAAAAAATTTCAGTAAAAAAATATCGAATATCTTGCCCAGATGTACATGTGGTGTTGTTTGAATATTTAATAGAGAATTGAGCAAATTAAACATGCATGCTATTAGCTAGGAGCTTTGAATAGGTTTTAATGAGCAGAGATCAACAGAGTACAAATTAAGAACATTTCACAGAATCCCCTAATTTTAGGTTGAAGATTACCAAAATATTACTAGTAAATTAATGTCCCCTTAAGACTGTGGAGTTTTTTTTTTTCTTTTTTCTGGGAATGGAGAGAGTACATTATGTGAATCATTTATTATGAAATTCTATGTATTTTGAAAGTTATATATACTACTCCCTTCGGTATTATAAGGTATTTTTTATTTGTCATAGATTTCACCTAATATTTTTTTTTTCGATTGAGAAAAAAACTTGAAAGCTATATTTTCACATTGATTGTGTTATTCTAATTATTTGGAAATATTTTAAATTTTTTCTTTAAATTAAAAAAAATACTAGGAAATATATATAGGACAAATCAAAATGCCTTATAATAAGAACCGGAGTGAGTATTATGCAAATAAACATAAACTGAAGTTCTTGTGTATGTAGTTGTAAGCTTAGAAACACATTAAGGGCAATGGTTAAACATAAATACAGAAGTACGGACTGGAAGACCCATTATGGCTTCGAATCTCGCATTTAATTATGAGATTCTCACGTGCGATTTGATCAAATGATATGAGATTCTTTACACTTCTTTAATTAGCTTTTGAGGTAATTTTTTTTTTTCAACAGTCGTATTTCAATTGGTCTCTCTACCCTTCATTGAATGCTTTACTAATTGAAGTCTAGATTCCGAAACTTTATTAATTAAGTGAACAAATTAGAAACTTGCAGAAGTTTCTTTCCTTCCTTAATTTGATCCCAATTCCAAAGGAGAATCGAACAACAAACCAATGGCTAATATTAAAAGGCTTTTGAGATTAGAGTAGATATGGGTTCGAATCTCACTGGGAGTTAGGGTAAACAAAACCTCTATATAAAGGCATACCCATCCTCCACTTCTTTGTTTTCATCATCAACCGTAAACTCCCCAACAACAAACAACAATGAATTCCAAAGCATCCTCTTTGATTTCGACCCAATCAGCGCGTGTTATGGCTCCTTCAAAAATCTCCAACGGCAGCCACCACCAAGGCAGCCAAATCCCGATGATTCCGATGCCGTCGGTGAGCAGCAACGGTGGCAACGGAAGCTCGACTACAACATTTCAAATGCCACTGCATTACCCGAGATTCAAGAAGGCTGATTACGAGAAGATGCCGGAATCCCAACTGGACTGCCTTCTCAGAGAATACGGGCTTCTGACCACATCAATCGGAGACCTTGATCAGAAGCGGAAGTTTGCCGTGGGTGCTTTCCTCTGGCCTGATGAGTATTGATTTGAGCCCCGAGGAAGAAGAGACCAAGCTAGCTAGCAATATCTATCTCAGTTTAATTTCGTTTTTACTTTCTTTTGTATTAGTTACTTAATTATAATTACAACAATTTTTTATGCTTAAAACTAACTTTATCAATAACCTTTTCATCGTACAAACTCGTATTTAAGAGTACCACATCAATTTTTAAGATTTGTACTAAAACAAGTACGAAAATATAAATCTCAAAACTAAATGTGGAGTATTTTTTGAGAGAGATGAAATATTTTTACTAGTTTGTGCATAAGAACATAGTGATAATTCTGACTTAATTAATCCTTAAAAAAACTACTCCCTCCGTCCCAAAATTATTGTACAGTTTGTCAAAAAAATTTTGTCCCAAAATTATTGTCCAATTTGACTTTGTTAGAGATAAAATACGCTTGTACCCTTGATTAAAAACATACCCCGTTTTCTCCATAGATGGCTTTAAGCGGCGGGGGTTGAGCAAGCGGCGGTGGTTGAGCATATGCCGAAATTCTATTGAATAATTTTGGAATTGAAGCTTCTTGATAGGTCTTGATGCCAGAACGATTTCTATTCTTGTTCATGACAGTGAGTCAATGCTCATCCTTGTCGATTAACAATCAGCTTCTATGATTATTGAAGCATTGTCGTTATTACCGCCAAATTCTCGATTGACCCCAAAATTATGTTGAGCTATCGAATTGATTCTTCAATATTGGTCGATCCGTCGCCGTGGAAAGCCTACGATGACATGCACTTTAATCTTTCCTGGTTTTCCTCTGACAGTGGCTAGATTTATCGCCGCTAAAAATGGAGTTATGCCCTTTGATAATGATACGCAAATTGAAAACAGAGTACTTTGTCATGATTTCCCGATAGGGGTATTTTTGAAAGTTTATGTCAAAATTTAGTTTAGTTTGACCAAAAATAAAATTTTGTATCTTAAGAAAAGTGGACAATAATTTTGAGACGGAGGGAGTAATTAATAATATTGGACCCAGTTAAGAAATTAAGTAAAATGAGGATAATGACTGGGATCGGAGAGTGATAATTTTGATCTGAGCATATGGACAGGATGAGACAAGCTAAAAACAAAATCGACATTAAACGGAACAGGATGCCTGGAAAGAGGCGATCGAGAATTGTTTAACCAAAATAAATACTACTTATGTCCTAAATAAATAGTTCACATTGAATTTTCATATTTGTACTAAAAACAGTACGAAACTCAAAACTCAATGTGGACTATTATTATGGGACAGAAGGAGTATAATTTTGACAAATCGTGTAAAAATTGCTTGAACTCTTGCAATATTGTCTACCACGTATACATACTTGTACATAGACTCTAGCAAATTAATTGAGAGTTAACGGAAAGAATCGTGTTTTCCCAAATTCTTTCCATTCTGAAATACCCTAGCCGACTTCTGCTTAAATAATGATATTATTATATTATTTAATAAGGAAGAAAGTATCCCATATCGGTGGTGGGAGAGACTTGGTATCAATATATAAGTCCATGGGCTAGACTTGGTATCAACATATAAGTGTATGGGCTACTCCTCTCATTGCCAATTGGTTTTGAGGTGGAACCCCATGGGCTTGTTTCAGCCCAGTCACCGCCTCACGTTTTAGCCCTACCAATTCTATCACATCAGGCTTATAGTCCAGCTTTTAGCTAGTTGGCTCTGATACCATATCGAAGTCCATGAGGTTCCACCTCAACCAATTGGCTATGAAGGGAGTAGCCCATAGATTCTGCCTCACGTCTCAGCCTTATCAGGCTTGGAGTCCGGCTCTTGGCGAGCTGGCTCTGATACTATATAGAAGTCCATGAGGTTCCACCTCAACCAATTGGCTATGAGGGGAGTAGTCCATAGACTCTGTCTCATGTCTCAGTCTTACCAGTTCTATCACATCAGGCTTGGAGTCCGACTCTTGACGGGCTGGTTCTGATACCATATAGAAGCCCATGGGGTTCAACCTCAAAACCAATTGACAATGAAGGGAGTAGCTCATGGACTTATATATTACCCACCAACGATGTAGTATACTTAACAGAAAGTAATATTATTTTGATATAAGTATAGTTAAACCTACGGTTTCTATATGTAAAATGGAAGTTACATATTCGATTCCACAAGTCACCGGTACATAAAATTAAAGGAAACGCGAATCTTTTCAAGGGAAAAGGAAAAAGGTTTTTACATTCATATCACCCGATTTAATTACAGTATATATAAAATTTTGTGTCAATCAACAACAGGAAAGAAAATAAAATAATAAAGAATAAATGAACAAGGTTATATTTATTATTAAAGTAATATTTATGAAAAAAACCAAAGTCTATAAATTAGATAATTTGCAATATTTCAACTTGAAAAATGAAATATATTATTATGCCTATTTATCAAGTTTAATTTAAAAAAATGGATCCTAGAATTTTGATATTTGTAATTTCAAGATTTTAATTTTAAAAAAATTAGATTACTTTTTTGAAACGAAAGTATTAATAACTCTTTAAAAAATTGTCCAAATTTTCCATTACGCAAAAGCAAACATTTCTCTATTAAAAAAGGAAATTGATAAATTGAGAGCATTTATTTTATCACTAGTTTGTTCAACGCGACCTGTTCAAATTTCAAATAGTGAGGAATCACTTTTAATACCATGTAATTCAATTTAAACCTTAAAATCAACTTTATTAAATTGGTTGGAATTCATAGACTTATATATTGATATCAAGTCTCTCCCACCATCGATGTGGGATACTCAACAGAAAGTAATATTATTTTGATATAAGAATAGTTAAACCTACGGTTTCTATATGTAAAAAGGAAGTTACCTATTCGATTCCACAAGTCACCGGTATATAAAATTAAAGGAAACACGAATCTTTTCAAGGGAAAAGGAAAAAAGTTTTTACATTCATATCACCCGATTAATTTACAGTATATATAAAATTTTGAGTCAATCAACAACAGGAAAGAAAATAAAATAATAAAGAATAAATGAAAGGGGGGGGGATGAAAAATAGGAAACACAATGGAAAGAGTAAACAAATGTTACCCAAATCTGCAGAGAGGGGGTTCGAAAAGTTGTATATATGGTGGCTAATCGATGCAAAACTTCTCTAACCCTAATTCCCTCCTCGCCCAACAAAACCAGAAGTCTTCTCCGAATCAATTTTAGCGACACAGAAGAAAACAATATCACATACAATGGATTCTCGTTATCATGTCGCTTTTGTCTTCCTTGTTCTTGCGTTGATTATGGGCTTTGTTTCATGGTGTCAATTCCGGACTCCGAAAAGTTAATTAATAATATTCTGTTGGCATGCCCGTAAGAGAGACACTAGGCATGAATATTTAATTCTTCTAGATGGATGGAGACACGGAGTACATATTAATTTCAGTAGAAAAATGATCAAATATCTTGCCCACATGTACATGTGGTGTTGTTTGAATATTTAATAAAGAATTGAGCAAATTAAACACGCATGCAATTAGCTTGAATAGGTTTTAATGAACAGAGGTCAACGGAGTACAAATTAAGAACATTCACAGAATCTCCTAATTTTAGGTTAAAAATTACCAAAAATATTAGTACATTAATGTCCCTTTAAGACGGGTGGAATTTTATTTTTATTTTATTTTTTTTGAAGTGGAGAGAGTACATTATGTGAACCATTTATTATTAAAATTCTATGTAATTTTTGAAAATTAAATTACTATTATACAAATAAAAATAAACTGAGGTTCTTGTGTATACTTACGTAGTTGTAACTTGTAAGGTTAGAAACACACAAGGGCAAATGTTAAACATAAATACTGAAGTATGGAGTATGGACTGACTTTGAATCTCGCATTTAATTATGAGATTCTAACGTGTGATTTGATCATATGATATGAGATTCTTTACACTTCTTTAATTAGCTTTTGAGGTAATTTTTTTTTTTCTTTTCAAGAGTCGTATTTCAATTGGTCTCTCTACCCTTCATCGAATGCTTTACCAATTGAAGTCTAGATTCCGAAACTTTATTAATTAAGTGAACAAATTAGAAACTTACAGAAGTTTCTTTCCTTCCTTAATTTGATCCCAATTCCAAAGGAGAATCGAACAACAAACCAATGACTAATGTTAAAAGGCTTTTGAGATTAGAGTAGATGTGGGTTCGAATCCCACTGCGAGTTAGGGTAAACAAAACCTCTATGTAAAGGCATACCCATCCTCCACTTCTTTGTTTTCATCATCAACCCTAAACTCCCCAACAACAAAGAAAAAAAAAATTCCAAAGCATCCTCTTGATTTCAACCCAATCAGCGTTATGGCTCCTCAGAACATCTCCAACGGCAGCCATCACCACCAGAACCGCAGCCAAGGCAGCGAAATCACGATGATTTTAATGCCGTCGGGGAGCAGCAATGGCGGCGACGGAAGTGCTTTCCAAATGCCGCTGCATTACCCAAGATCAAGAAGGCTGATTACGAGAAAATGCCAGAATCCCAACTGGACTGCCTTCTCAAAGAATACGGGCTTCCCACATCAGCAATCGGAGACCTTGATCAGAAGCGCAAGTTCGCCATGTGTGCTTTCCTTTGGCCTGATGAATATTGATTTGAGCCCAAGGAAGAAGAGACCAAGCTAGCCATATCTCAGTTTAAATTTTATGTTATTACTATTATTATTATTATTAGTATCTATTTATTTGTATTAGATACTTAATCATAATCAGAACACATTTTGTTATGCTTGAAACCAGTTTTACCCAGTCTTTTCATCCTACAAATAAAATTTGCGCGGGTGAGGGGAATTTTGGTCAAAGAGAGTATAATTTCATTGTACATCATGGATATCACAAATGTCTACGGAAAGAAAATCTAATAATACTTCTTATGTTCCAGAAAAATAGTCCACATGTAGTTTTAAGATTTGTACGTTTTTTAGTATAAATTTAAAACCTAATGTAAACCCTTTTTTTTTAACAGAGGGAGTAA